TACACTACAGCACCTGGTCTTCCTAGGTGGTCTCCCATCCAAGTACTAACCATGCCCGACCCTGCTTAGCTTCCAAGATCAGATGGGATCGGGCTTGTTCAGGGTGGCATGGCCATAGATAATTAAATAATATTTTAATGTAGTAGTGAAAAAATAAAAATGAAAAAAATCCATGATGAATAAAATATAAAAGTTTTAAGTAAAGACAGTATTCTCCAAGAAAGACGAGAAGACTGAGTCGTTCAGTGGAACTGGGAGCAATCACTTTGGTTTCTCTTTGTCCTGGTGAAGACCTGAGGCTATGTTTTCTTGATTATTTTTTGTAACGTCTCCATCTTATCTTAATCTTGCTAACCCCCGCTTGTTTCCTTAGAGTTATTAGCATTAAAGAATTTTTAGAATACATCAAGGGGTCGGGTGCTTTTCAGGGACCAGGCTAAAGGAAGGAGTAAGCCTGCTTGGGCAGGAATGGAGGAGGAAGGGGATGGTGGTGATCACAGCCCACACCTCCACCTGGTCCAGTTACAGGGAGGGGAAAAGCAGGAGACTCTCAGTGAGGTTGGGGACTGAGTCATGACTGGAGACAAAGCTGCCTTCCTTCCCATCAGCTGTAGAAAATTCCCTTCTGTGAATCAATGCAAGCACGCCCGCCACCACTGAGATTTGCAAACATTTTGTCTCCTCCAAGTACATCCTGGCTCTCTGGCTGGGGTGTTTTTCTTCCAGGGAGCAGAGGAATTCAGCACTGTGGGGCTCTAGGGAGAAGAGGAGATGAAAACAGCTTCCTAGAATTGACATAGTTGCCCCATCAACATGCTATCTGCCACCTGGCGCAGATCTCCTTTGGTCCCTGCCCCAACCTTGTCTGTGCTTGCTCTCAGAGAAACCCTTCTCCCTCTGCTGGACACTCAGTGGTCATCTTTATTATTGTTCAAGATGCCAGTGACAGTGATGATGGGGCTGTGCTGCTACTGCTGATCATAACTGCCACTGTTGGAGGACTTAGCGCATATCAGGCCCTCTGCGGGGCACTTTGGGTACATTTTCTCTCTCTAATCATTACAGCAACTCCCACGAAGCAGGGATATTTGTCCTTCATTTACAACTGAGGCAACTGAGCCTTAGGAGGATCAACAACTCACCCTAAGTCATACAGTTAGGAGGTCAGCATCTTCATTAGGGAGATCACCATGCTGTGGGCAGGCCCAGGTCAATGGGAATGCCGTGGTTGCAGCCGCTCTGGTCCGCCTGCAGAGGGTGCTCTCACCCCATGGAACTGCCAGGGCTCCCTAACAGCCCTTTCCAACCTGCCCTTAGAAAGGGCTTATCTAAGCCCTCTTCCCTCTAAACCCTAACATATAATTAGACTTCTCAAAATATTCTCTCTGAGTGGGATGGGGACAATCATATGCTATAGGCTTCT